TCCGTTCCCGTCATCTGCTCCGTGGATTCCCCGTGTACCCATCAACTGAGGTGTGTGCAGTCCTCTGTCTCCCTTCCACGATCTCCTGTGAGGACCCTATACGGAATTACTCTTCTCATCTACCTTCAGGCCCATTACCATAGTTCATATTCTCACCTGCCCTATCCATCCGCACCCCTTGCTGAAAATAAACATTGTTGTACTTTTCTAACCCTCTGTGTGAGTCTCCTTCCGTAACATGCTCTGCCTGCTAATGTATTTTCTCCTCTTTGCATTTCTGGCCTCTGTTAAACGCTGTTTACAGACTCCGAAATAAAACAAAAAACCGTCTGGTTCCAATTTATGGCCGATGGTCGATCGGTGCATCTCTGCTCAAATTAAAATATTAAACTGCTTTTATTTTGGTGGGTTGCCAGCAAATAAATAAATGCGCTGCATGTTTCAGAGTGGAGCGCTGCGTGTCATGGGCTGCACTTTACCCGCTTCACTCTGTAAACTGCAGCACATGTATTATTTAATTAAATCGCAACCTTTGCGATATGACTATGGCATTAAGCCATAATGCGATATCGATTATATTTCAATATATAATGCACCCCTAATTAAAATAATATTATTATTTAAAAAAAACTTAACTCATTCTAACTTAAACACCTCTGATTGGTATTTGCGTTCAAGAGATCAACAGACATGTCTGTGATTGGCTACATTTCTCACCGCTGCAAAAACACGCTGTAAACAGGAACATTTCACATTCTCCAAAGCTCAAACTCAAAAACAATGGAGCGTTTGCTAAATCTGTTTCGAAAATAATATTATGTCATTGCAGTATCAACTGAGGGTGCTCTTGCTTTCGTTTCAGGGTGCTTATATTTGAAATTGACTTTGTGATTTTTTTTGTTTTTTTTTACGAGAAATTACTTGTGATCAAACATTAATTGGCGGACCCCCGGTTGAAGACCCTTGATTTAAAGACATTCAATTCTGTTTTTCAAACTGATGGACGAGCAACATTTACATGCCACTGATGCTGACAATAGAAATAAACTCAGTCAACTTGAAATATTCCTAATAATTCATCATTATATTGTTATCTGTGTCCACAGGGTTGAAGTATCTGCAGAAGTTTGCAGGTACAGTGTGACTGACATCAATTTCTCCAATACACGTTATAATAATACTTGTTTATATTTTTATAATCTGTATCATATGAAAAGGTTTGCTCTGAAGTTGATTGATAATGTCTAATCTCTCATCTAGTGGATGTGACTCTGGATCCTGATACAGCGAATCCATATCTCATCCTGTCTGATGATGGAAAACAAGTCAGTCATGGAGACATTGAGCAGGACGTCCCAGAAAACCCAAAGAGATTTGGTACGATTTGTGTTCTGGCAAAGCAGGGATTCAGTTCAGGGAGATTTTACTATGAGGTGCAGGTGAAGGGAAAGACTCAGTGGAGTTTAGGAGTGGCCAGAGAATCTGTTAACAGGAAGGCGTCGATCACACTGACTCCAGTGAATGGATTCTGGACTGTGATTCTGAGGAATGAGAATCAATATACAGCTTGTGAAAGTCCATCTGTCTCATTATCTCTGAGAGTGAAACCTGAGATTGTGGGAGTGTTTGTGGATTATGAGGAGGGTCTGGTCTCGTTTTATGACGTGGGCTCCAGCTCTCATATCTGCTCTTTCACTGGTCAGACTTTCACTGACAAACTCTATCCATATTTTAGCCCATGCCGCAATGATGCAGGTAAAAACTCAAACCCACTGATCATCTCACCTGTTCATTAACAGATGAGATAATCAGTAAATTTCATAGATTTCCCTGAAATAAGAAACATGAAATCTGGAAAGATTAACTATGCAAGGGCCGTTTTTTGTATAAAAAAACAATGATCCATATTAATAATAAAAAAATTTAAATATTTGTAAATTACAGAAGAAAAAAACACCTGTAAGCTGTCACAGCTACACACTGGACCATGAAAACCCTAAATGGAAGCTCATTTCTATAAATACTGACATTTTTTTTTTTTACCTGGTGCCTAGATTACAATTTTTGGTTTATTTTTAATTTTGTCATAATATTCCATAAAAATAACTGTCTATTGGCATTTTCTTTTTCTCTATATTTTATATCTCTTTATTCTATATCTCTTTATTATTAGTGTTATTATTACCTTTAATTATAAGTATGTCTGTACTTTCTGTACTGGAAGCTCCTGACACCAAGACGAATTCCTCGTGTGTGTGTAAACACTTGACAATAAAGCTCTTTCTGATTCTGATTCATAACCTCATACAACCCCAATTGCGAGAAAATTGGGATGCTGTGTAAAACGTAAATAAAAACAGAATACAATGATTTGAAAATCTCATAAACCTATATTTTATGTACACTAGAACATAGAAAACATATCAAATGTTTAAACGGAGTTAAAATGGTACATTTCATCAGTTTAAACATTAGATATGTTTGAAATGTATGACCTGGGGTTATATGTGTGTGTTATATATATATATACATACACACTGAATTGGGAATTGATTGATACACTGAGAATCGATTCAGGACACATCTGACAGAATGACACTCATGATCATGATTCAAACAGCAGATGAGTTTTCTGTCCAGCAGAGCGCAGCGTTTGCAACACATTCACAGCATCAAGCCTCTGGGACTCTGGGAAATGAGGGCTGCCTGCTGTACTCTGGTCAATTGCAGATGACAAAGGAGCAAAAAGATTGTAAGTCACAGATTAACCAAATTCATCATACATTCAGACACAGGTTATGTCTGTATTATAGATTTTGCCAATTGATTATCTGCAAATACAAACAAACACAAATAAAGAAAGAAATATCTGCCATTACTGATAAATGAGAGAGAAGAGTGTGTGTCCACATCAACAGATGGACATTTACATGAGGAGCAGAAACTCCAGGAGTTTGAGTCCTAAAATCCGACATTTGAAAACACGGCGCTCTGCAGAAAGCCCATTGTTTTGATCTCACCATTTTGATTCAAATATAGTGGCACCTTCATTTTTTAAGGAAATAGACTTTATAGTCACATGACTCAGAATATGCTAATTGCTCTCTTTGTCTGTTGTAAAAGAAAGTACATTCTTATTCCAGAGAGATTCTGATTGGATGAAAATCTGTGTAGAGCAGGATGATGTCATTAGTATTTTCAGTCATTTTCCTGAAGTAGAAAGACTGATGAAAATGATGAGTAGAACTACAGAGATACACGACTGAAATCTTCATCTCATGCGAGTGAACAGCATTTAAAATAATAATACTCAATTCTTCAGGTGTAAAACTATTTATAAATAAATAAATACTTATATAGTATCAACATCAGAACAAAATATGGATGTTAGACGATCATCTAAATCTTAAAACAGGTGGAAAATATCCAATATTGCCTGACAAATATCTGCAAATACTGTTTTAAAAAAAAGTAAAAATAAAGAAATATTGCCCAAAATATTTAAAAATCTGTCAATATTAATAAACAAACAAACAAATCAATTATTGCCTGAAATAAATATCTTCCAATATAGATTAAAATAAAAATGGAAATTGCAAAAATTTTGCTAGAAATATGAAATATCTGCCAATACTGATTAATAAAAATAAATAACATAAATAAATATTTACCCAAAATCTTAAATATCTCCCAACACCAAATAATAATATAAAGAAATATTGCCCAAATATTAAATATCTGCCAATATCAATTAATAAATAAGTAAATATGGCCCAAAATGTCAAATATAATAAATATCTCCTGATGCATCAAATATCTGCCAATAGAAAAAAAAAGAAAATTAAATGTACAAATATATTTTAAAAAAATGTACATTCCCAGAAAAATCAAATATCTGCGAATACAGATTAAAAAAAATATTCATTGCCTGTTATATGAAATATCAATCAAAGCTGACTGATTAATAAATAAGAAAATCAACTAACAAACAAATATTGCCTGAAATATCAAATATCTGCCACTGCTGATGGATGGATGGATGGATGGATGAATGGTTGGATGGATGGATGGATAGATAGATAACCAATATGACTGTATATATTATGCATCCCGGATACATTTTATATGTGTTTTAATATTCAAAGTTTATTTTCCAGCAGCAGAAAGACTAGAAAATGATGAGTAGAAAGAGTAGAGTTTTGTTCTAAGTGTACATAATTTAAACATTTAAGTGTAAAACGTTTACTGCAAGTAGAAAAACAAATACTCATACACTATCAGCACCAGAACAAACTGAGAGGCGAAGCACTTCTAAACGTCTGTAGACACATTTATTTCAGTTTTCAACAAACACAGTTGATTTCACTCCGACAACAAAACAGTGTCTCTCCAGAGCGAGACGAGACTCGTGAACATGAACAAGAGCTTGACGTGTAGATGAGTGACGTCTGTACACCGGCTGACTTGTGTTCGCCAGTGAAAACCAACATCTGTACAGAACATTAAACATGTTAAACAGCACGCATGTAACAACCTGCTAGTCATTACACGCATGCTAAATAACCATTCAAAGGAGAAGCTCACCCAAAATGAATATTTGCTTATAATGTCCTCACCCTCAGGCCATGAAAGATTAGGATGAGTTTGTTTCTTCATCAGATTTGGAGAAATGTAGCATTGCATCAGTGTCTCAGCAATGGATGCTCTGCAGTGAATGGGTGCCGTCAGAATGAGAGTCCAAACAGCTGATAAAAACATCACAATAATCCACAAGTAATCCACAGCACTCCAGTCCATCAGTTAACATCTGGAGAAGACAAAAGCTGAAACACATCCAGCATTAAGACGTTTTTAAGTCCATAAACGATAATAACGCTTCCTCCAGTGATAAAGTGGTCTTGTCTGAATCAGGCAGATTTCTATTCTGGATCTAGCAAAATTTTTTTTTCACTGGAGGAAGAGTTATTATGGATTATGAACTCGTATTTTAGCCGGAAGTGATGGTTTGAAGTTAAAAAAGTCTTGATGGATTTGTTTCAGCTTTTCTCTTCACAATACATTAACTGACGGACTGGAGTGGTGTGGATTACTTGTGGATTATTGTGATGTTTTTATCAGCTGTTTGGACTCTCATTCTGACGGCACCCATTCACTGCAGAGCATCCATTGCTGAGACACTGATGCAATGCTACATTTCTACAAACCTGATGAAGAAGCAAACTCTACATCTACATCTTGAATGGCCTGAGAATAAGTGAACTGTCAAATTTTTTTTTATTTTTTTAGGTGAACTATTGCTTTCAAGTGGCGCGTCATGCAATGTGAACAATACTGTCTTGGTGAAACTTCAGTATAAATCCAACTGAAAACATGTTCAGTAATCATTTTACTCAAATATAACTCCTAATTTCATTAAATACGACATATACAGTGAAGTTAACAGTGGTCGAGTGTTAGTTGCCTGGTTAACACAGTGGAAAATCAGTGAGGTTGTTCAGGTTAGTGGAATGAATCCAGACTGACGACAGAAACATACTTTACTTGAGTACAAACGCAAGAGAACACCAACCACAGACGAAAACAACACTCAATATTAGGCCTACATTTAAGACAAATATTTAGGCCTACATTTAAGATTCATGTATTTGAACTGCATATAAAATGTCATTGCATTTGGATTACACAGTTTTATCATAAAGAAACTAATAAAGTTAATGCGATACATATTTGTTAGTCATACATAAATGAAACCGGTCAGATTTCTGTAATAGTGCTAATAAACTGAATGTGTTTTAAACACACAATAACCATAATCAATAAATCTTGTTTTAATGTCATACATTTGAACTAACTGAACATTGCTTGTTTCACAGCTAGTCATACCATTTTCATACTTTTTAACTGAATAAATTTTATCGCTTTCACATTTTAATAAATGCATTATGAAAATATGATTTTAAATCAAATCAAATAGATGCTTTTTTTTTTTTGAATGCAGAAATCTGACCTTTTTCCATTTATGCACGACTGACAAATATGAATCACGTTAAGTTTATTAGTTGGTTTATGATAAAACTGTGTAATCCAAAATGTAAATGCAATCCAAATACATAAATCTTAAATTTAGGTCTAAATATTTTCAGCGGATTAAGCGTTTGCATTCATATATACTTGTGTAGTAGAGTATGTCTCGGGTCCGTATGCTGATGTTTACCACTTTCAACTAAAAGAAAGCAAGAAAGCACTCTTTGGTTTTGTAAATGAATCCCTTTTGTGTCCTTTTCTCTATTTTCTAAATTATATAAATTCCCTATGTCACGTAATACCTTTTCAAACACTGTAAAGCTAGTCGATTGAGTGTCTACAGCAGGAATATCTGATTATACGACTCCAAACGACGAGAGAGTCACATATATTTGATGAACCAAAGCAGCACGGCGCGTGTGGGGTGGTGATCTTCACAGCAGATGTAAAGAAGGATGTGTCGTCTGGCGCTTAACACATTTCTGCAACTTCTGCTCACAAACCAATGGCATGAGGAGGAAAGGTGACCAACACGGAAACATGGTGAATGTGGGAGGAAGATCAACACTTTCCCTGATCACACGCTCAAGCATCGAAGTCACTCGAGAACACAACACATGCAACACACTGCTCTGCGACACACACCAAATATACCCCAACAAGCACAAAATAATCAAATGTGGGCTTTGTTTTTGCTATTAAAAAATAATATTTACCAAACAAAAACTAAATAATTCAAATGTGGCCTTTATTTTATAAAACAAATACTTACCAACAAATGATAATTCAAATTTTGGGTGCATTTAAAAAAATTCAAATGTTGGCTTTATTTTTATTATAAAAATCTATGTTTACTAAACAATCAGTAAACAATTAAAATGTGGGCTTTGTTTTTGCTATAAAAACTAATATTTACCAAACAAACATTACAATTTTAAATGTTGGCTTTGTTTTTGTTATAAAAACCAAAAATGTACCTAATGAAAACTAAATCATTCAAATGTTGGCTTTGTTTTTGTTATAAAAATCGATATTTACTAAACAATCAGTAAATAATTAAAATGTTAGCTTTGTTTTTGTTTTAACAAAAACAAATAATTCAAATCTTGCCTTTATTTTTGTTATAAAAATATTTACCAAACAAAATCTTAATATTTCAAATGTTAGCTTTATTGTTTTATTATTTAAAAAAAAAACTATATTTACCAAACAAACACCAAATAATTCAAATGCTGGCTGTGTTTTTTGTCATAAAAATATATATATTTTATCCGTATACATTTTTTTTACCAACAAATACTAAATATTTCAAATCTTGGCTTTGTCATAAAAAACAATATTTACTAAACAGCTAATCATTAAAATGTTACCTTTGTTTGTTTGTTTTTTATATTTATCAACAATCACTAAATGCAAATGTTGCCTTTGTTTTTGTTATAAAAATCAATGTTTACTAAACAATCAGTAAATAATTCAAATGTTGCCTTTGTTTTTGTTTTAACAAAAACAAATAATTCAAATCTTGCCTTTATTTTTGTTATAAAAATATTTACCAAACAAAATCTTAATATTTCAAATGTTAGCTTTATTGTTTTATTATTTAAAAAAAAAACTATATTTACCAAACAAACACCAAATAATTCAAATGTTGGCTTTGTTTTTGTTAGAAAAGCCAGATATTAAATATTTACCAGCAAAAATGAAAAAAAAAAAAATCTCTTGACATTGTGTTTGCTATAAAAACGATATTCATCAAACAAATACTAAATAATTAAATGCTGGCTTTGTATTTTATTATAAAAAAAAATTTTTATTTTTTTTTTACTGTAAAAAATAATGTAACTTTTTGCAGTGAATCTGCATTTACTTTGCATATGCAGATTTTATGTTTTTATCTTTTTAAATTTATCTTATAATTGTTTTTTTTTTTCTGAATGCATTGCAAAACTATGAATGGTTTACTCAAAAATGATTATTTTATTTGCATTAACAGACAGGCAACACAGCATATTTAACAACACTTTTGAAAGGCAGAACACCTTTCAGAAGATATAACAGATCAGATCACAACACAAACAGTCGACAGACAAGCTGGCGATGAATTTACAATCATGTTTTATAGGTTTTGTACGCTGGCCAAGAGGTGACATCCGAGAAGAACATTGCTCCCACTCAGACATCATGATTTAAACGTCTTCTATCAAATATCAGTCTTTATCAAATAAAAACAGTGTGCTAAATATACATTTGCAATTATTTTATAGATTTTGTGGGCACCCCTCTGAGCTCAGCAGGTTTATTTGATATGTATGGAGCACATGGAGATGAGCCGAGCTATAATTATCCTGCGAGATATGAAAATAATCAGCATGTGGGCTGCCATGTAGAATGACTCACTGATGACACAAATGCATTTACAACACACAGAACCGGAGCAGAGACGCACACAAAGAGCAAGCTGAACTTACTTTGGCATCCTGAACATCATCGGGCCAAAAAATGGAGGGGGGGGGGGGGATAAAAATTGCATAAATGAGTGCAGTCTGTTATTTGCATTAGCCACATCAAAACTTTTTAAGTACCATAAGGAGTTGTTAAAACATCAAAGATTAGATTAATAAATAGAATAGTGGATTAATAAACATTAATCAACCTACACGACACAACGACGCTTCAGAGGTGGAGCAATTTGATAAAAGATCATGACGAACTAAATATTTACTAGCAAACACTAAACAATTCAAATTTGAGCTTTGTTTTTGTTATAAAAACGAAATATTCACCAAAAATACTAAATCATAAAAAATTTGGCTTAGATTGTTATAAAAAATAAATATTTACAAAACAATTAATAAATAATAATTTAAATATGGGATTTGTTTTTGTTATAAAAACTAAATATTTATCAAAAAGCACTAACATTTTACATTTTGGCTTTGATTTTATTATAAAAACTAAATATTCACCAAAAATACTAAATCATAAAAAATTTGGCTTAGATTGTTATAAAAAATTAATATTTACAAAAAAATTAATAAATAATAATTTAAATATGGGATTTGTTTTTGTTATAAAAACTAAATATTCACCAAAAATACTAAATAATTTAAAATTTGGCTTTAATTTTATTATAAAAACTAAATATTCACCAAAAATACTAAATAATTTAAAATTTGGCTTTAATTTTATTATAAAAACTAAATATTCACCAAAAATACTAAATAATTTAAAATTTGGCTTTAATTTTATTATAAAAACTAAATATTTATCATAAAATATTAAGTAATTCAAATGTGAGCTTTGTTGCGGTTATAAAAACTAAATATTGACCAAAAAACACCAAATTATGTAAATGTGGGCTTTGTTTTTGTCATAAAAATTACATATTTACCAAAACAAAAACTGAATAATTTGTTTTTTTTATAGAAAAAAATATTTACAAAAAAAAACACCAAATAACTCAAATATGAGATTTGTTTTTGTTATAAAAACTAAATATTTACAAAAAATAAATAAATAATAAGAAGAATTCAAATATGAGATTTGTTTTTGTTATAAAAACTAAATATTTACAAAAAATAAATAAATAATAAGAAGAATTCAAATATGAGATTTGTTTTTGTTATAAAAACTAAATATTTACCCAAAAAACACTAAATAATTCAAATATGAGATTTGTTTTTGTTATAAAAATGAATTATTTACAAAAAAATAAAAATAAGAAGAATTTAAATATGGGCTTTGTTTTTATTATAAAAACTAAATACTTATAAAATATTAAGTAATTCAAATGTGAGCTTTGTTGCTATTATAAAAACTAAATATTTACCAAAAAATACCAAATTATGTAAATATGGGCTTTGTTTTTGTCATAAAAACTAAATATTTACCAAAAAACACCAAATTATGTAAATATGGGTTTTGTTTTTGTTATAGAAAAAAACGTTTACAAAAAAACACTAAATAATTCAAATATGAGATTTGTTTTTGTTATAAAAACTAAATATTTACCAACAGACACTAAATATTTCATAAGTCGGGTTTGTCTTTGTTATAAAAAAAACAAATATTTACCCAACAAACCCTAAATAATTCAATGCTATCTTTGTTTTTGTTATAAAAACTAAATATTTACCCAAAAAAATTTATTCAAATGTTAGGTTTGCTTTTGTGACGAAATCTAAATATCAACAGACACTAAATATTTTAAATGTTAGCTTTGTTATAAAAACTAATATTTATCAATGTGCAATTTAATAAAGTATTACAGATGGTGATTATTTTAAAAGTGCACATTGAACTACACAAAAAATTTGTCAAATCTAAATTGACTGGTTTTATTCAAGTCAAAAATATAATGTAACATCACTGAATCAACCTAAATTAATTAATTTACAGCAACAAAACTCATTTTTATGGGTTAAATCAGGTAGTAAGAGGTCTTTAAGGTAACAACTGTAACAGGTTACCAATTTTTGGTGGGCTGGTGAATTGATTTTCTTCAGTGGATTGATTGAATGTGAGTTTGGCCTTAAACATTGGGTAAAGACACAAACATCCCAGCGCTTCGCAGACAGATCTTTAACATTCGCTTTCCTCCAGGAGTCTGAATCGTTCATGATTACTGAGCTGCAAAGACTCCCATCGGAATTAAAACCCAATTAGCGTTCGGCCCTGCGGTGAAGGTCCAGGAGGTTTTGACATGCTGAAGGCCAGCAAGAGCAGAAATCAACATGATATACTGCATATATATCACACGAAACAGAGCAAACCAGAGAAGAAATGACACGCACTGTGTTCAGCCTTGCCTCAAAGTCAACATCAAAACTGATTATTTACTTTCGTAATGCATGTTCTCTTTCATCAGTAATAACCTGCTCCACTTTTGAAATGATTTTGAGTCTTACATCGCTCAGACGGTGCAGCTATTGAATAATGTTAACAAACAAAAACACATTCATACATCATTTTAGCAAACTCAAATTTGCACTGTATGTGTCAAATCTCACAACATATTATCTTGTTTCATTTGGAAATTCGTCACAGTGTGGATGTAAAATGAGTGTGAGAGAGTGAGTGTGTGAGAGTGTGAGTGAGTGAGTGTGTGTGTGTGAGTGAGTGAGTGAGTGAGTGTGTGAGTGTGAGTGAGTGTGTGTGTGTGTGTGTGTGTGTGTGTGAGAGAGTGAGTGTGTGAGAGTGAGTGAGAGTGAGTG